CGATTGATGTAGCTGTAGTAGACATTCACAAAAATAAAAAAATATATATAAACTGCTTACTCTGAGGTTGTGTTTAGGGTTGGGGTAGGAGTAAAATTGAATAAAACACAGCAGGTTACCGTGAGGTTGGGCCTAGGGCTGGGGTAGGTGTGATTTTAATAAACTGCGATAGGTTGTATTCTGTGCCATGTACGAGACATTGAATCAATGAAACCCACATGGAGGTTTGTTACTGTAAGGTTGGGTTAAGAGTTGGGGTAGGTCGGGAGGTTGATAAAACACAGCAGGAAACTGTGAGGTTGGGTTAAGGATTGGGGTAGGTTTGACATTCAAACATAACTGGTTGGGCGCAGTGTCTTGTACCAGACATTAAATGAATGAAAACTCCAGGAGGTTTTTACAGCCCACTTGGAGCTCAAGTCTCACCCGCTTGGAGCTGACCAGGCCATTTGGAGCAGGCTCCGATTTCTATTTATACCTTTCTCAGTCAGGTAACTTCCTTTTCAGTAGTATGAGCGTCTGCACTGTGTGACATATTTGCCGACATATAACAGAGACGGAAACATTGCTCACACTTGTCTGAGGTGGTCATTTTGACTGCAATCTTGTTTTAGGCTGGCACTTTGTTTTTGAATATTGTCTGCTTTTCGAATGCGTGTCTGTGCTGCAGTAGAACACCTTAGCCTCACAGCAAACATTTTGGTCTACAAGCTGTCACTGCCGTCTTCCCAGGAGAGTGGCTGTACTGGTTTCTTCTGGAAGTCGTGAGGGATGTACGGGACCAAGACATGAGAGCAGTTGGGGCAGCCTTTGAACCCAGGAGAGCACCCCACAGGCTCTGTGCTGGCGGCCCCAGAAAGTCGATTCACTCCAGAGTAGAACCGAACAACTCCGGCAGGGGCAAACCGCGACCGCACTGCACTGAGAGCAACGCAAAAAGGTCCTGAACAAGCCAGCCAGGAGTCAAACCTAGAATCTTCTGATCCGTAGTCAGACGCGTTATCCATTGCGCCACTGGCCCAGTCCGCATCAGCAGTGCTCAGTAGCATCCTGATTGAAAAGAGGATACGGCTTTGTGAACACGGAGTTCCTTCAACGCATGCTGTGCTTTGTTGTCATGGCAAGTTGTGGTGTCGATAGGATGCTCTTACACCGAGCATGTGACAGTCCCTCCCAAGAAGAACTGTGATCCAGGCTCTGAGACTTTCTCTTCCCCAGGAGGAGGTTGCAAAGGTTAGAGTTATTTTTGTCAGAGCAGCTGCAGCACACCTGGGTGGAGGCCCACAGCTAGACTTGAGGGCAACCTTCAGCCAGACCTTCCCTGGTGGTCTAGTGGTTAGGATTCGGCGCTCTCACCGCCGCGGCCCGGGTTCGATTACCGGTCAGGGAACTTCCTTTTCACCTCCATGCTGAAATTTGACCAGTAGAGAACTCAGTTGGCGAAGGCAAGAAAGCGGCTCTGAGCGCAAAAGATGTCCTTCGAGCCGGAGTCGAACCAGCGACCTAAGGATTGCCATCATCCCACCTACAGTCCCCCGCTCTACCAACTGAGCTATCGAAGGCTTACAGAGCAGTTTCACAACCACATCCTATAAGGTAGCTGCAGTCCGACCGCTGGCCAAAAAGGACAGAAGCAAAAGCACTCAAGCCTTCCCATACCGGGAGTCAAACCCGGGCCGCCTGGGTGAAAACCAGGAATCCTAACCGCTAGACCATATGGGAACTGCCACTTTGGAACGCCAGTCTTGGCACAAACTCCAGTTGATTCTGATCGCTGGCACGTCCCTGCTCCGCTTGCACAAGTGCCACTCATACACTTACGCACTCTCTCATACACAGTTTCTTGGTTTCCGTAACCGAGAACCTTCTGATCCGTAGTCATAAGCGCTAACCTTTGTGCCGCCGTCACTCTGTTCAGCACCTTGTTAGCACATTGCTTGGAGCAAGGACAAGGCTCTGTCAACCCGGAGTTCCTTCGCCACACATTCTGCTTTGTTTTTATGGCAAGAGGTTGTGTGGATGGGATGCTCTTACAGGATTCCTGACAGTCCCTCCATAGAAGAGCTGAGATCCAGGGTCAGAGACTCTCTCCTCTCCAAGAGGAGGTTAAAAGCAATGGTTTCTTTTGTGTCTGTGTGTCAGAGCGCTTAGGTGTTGCTGCAGCTCAGAGACCTACAAGTGAAGGAGATTACACTGCAAGTTGCCTGGATGACCTCTAAGTGGTAGGCACTTATGCCGCACGTAGGCTGGGTTTGCGATTGATGTAGCTGTAGTAGACATTCACAAAAATAAAAAAAAATATATAAACTGCTTACTCTGAGGTTGTGTTTAGGGTTGGGGTAGGAGTAAAATTGAATAAAACACAGCAGGTTACCGTGAGGTTGGGCCTAGGGCTGGGGTAGGTGTGATTTTAATAAACTGCGATAGGTTGTATTCTGTGCCATGTACGAGACATTGAATCAATGAAACCCATATGGAGGTTTGTTACTGTAAGGTTGGGTTAAGAGTTGGGGTAGGTTGGGAGGTTGATAAAACACAGCAGGAAACTGTGAGGTTGGGTTAAGGATTGGGGTAGGTTTGACATTCAAACATAACTGGTTGGGCGCAGTGTCTTGTACAAGACGCTAAATGAATGAAAACTCCAGGAGGTTTGTACAGCCCACTTGGAGCTGACCAGGTCATTTGGAGCAGGCTCCGATTTCTATTTATACCTTTCTCAGTCAGGTAACTTCCTTTTCAGTAGTATGAGCGTCTGCACTGTGTGGCATCTTTGCAGACATATAGCAGAGACCGAAACATTGCTCACACTTGTCTGAGGTGGTCATTTTGACTGCAATCTTGTTTTAGGTTGGCACTTTGTTTTTGAATCTTGTCGGCTTTCCGAATGTGTATCTGTGCTGCAGTAGAACGCCTTAGCCTCACAGCAAACATTTTGGTCTACAAGCTGTCACTGCTGTCTTCCCAGGAGAGTGGCTGTACTGGTTTCTTCTGGAAGTCCTGAGGGATGTACGGGACCAAGACATGAGAGCAGTTGGGGCAGACTTTGAACCCAGGGGAGCACCCCACAGGCTCTGTGCTGGCAGCCCCAGAAACTTGATCCACTCCAAAGTAGAACCAAACAACTCTGGCAGGGGCAAACTGCAACTGCAGTGCACTGACTGAGAGCAATGCAATAAATCCTGAACGAGCCAGCCAAAAGTCGAACCTAGAATCTTCTGATCCATTGTCAGACATGTTATCCATTGCGCCACTGGCACACACACAGCACTGAAACACTTGTCACAGTATCTTCTCATTGTGTGTGTGTTTAGTTACATTTTAGATTGTGTAGCGAGTAAGCTACAGATTGGAAGGAAAAAAACTGGAAAAAAAAAAAAAACGTGCAAGTTTGTGATCTTTTTGGGATTCATCCGATCTAATTTTGCTGCTAAATTAGAATAAAACAGTAATTTTAATCAAAAATGTATAATATATTTTTACATTTTTTATACACACGTTTCACTCTCTTCTCTCCCGATGGCGAGTTATAAAGGTAAAGTTGGTTTTATATTCACACATTCGTTCATTTAGAAGTCTCTATATTGTTTACCATGTTACTTTGAATATTCGATCGGAATAAGCATGCAAGTATGACTTAAAAAAAAACATTAACACTGTTAATTTGGCTGTGACCAATGTTGTACTTTGATAGTCGTTGGCTGCTAATATGATTTCGCTATTTAGAGTTTGCAAATAACACTTTCATGAAATTATATTATTAAGGGGAACGTCCGAATGTGTGAATATAAAACCGACTTTACCTCTATCGGCGAGTTTACTCACCCCTGACCTGTCACTGAAGCCTGGTTTAATACAGTCTGAATGTCGGGTTGGGAATGCAGATATTACATAATTATTTTTTTTTTTGTAACACGAGAGCGCAGTCATGTACGTTAATCTCTAAAACTGGATATGCGAGCTCTTGAATAGGCTTTTTCAAATCAACTGCTTAGAAGTATATTTTATTTATCTTTACTCCTTGCTTAAACTTAGTCAAAAACTATCATGAATTTAGAATTAGATCGATGCATGACCAATGACAATGCTAACAGACTTATTTGGTGGTATTGTGAAGTGAATTTTTGCCTACCAGAACTTTTAGCAAAGGTGAAACTTTTTATTTCTCTACGACAAAATAATTATGCTAGAAATGTTTCTGGATGAGATATTTATGTGATTTATACATAATAGGGGTGTTCTGATTGGTCTTAAAGCATCACTAAATTGTGCAGGCATTACAGCTCAAACAATTTGTTACATTTATCAAAATAAACAATAAAGCTCTTGAAACCCTGCTTTGAGAAATATGTAGCGTTGTCAAATTTTAAATACCTCAAGTGAAACGAAGTCATTTGTTTTATTATTTTATACTGACAGTGTTCTTGTCTTTTATGTAAAATTATTTCAGTTTAAGATCACGTGTAAAATAAAATATTGTATAGACAACAATGAGCAAATAAGCACAGTAGTGTAAAATTAGTAAATAAGCCCCAAATTTTTTGCCAGTCCTATTGAAATTGATTCATTGTCATGAAAGGAAAAATTGACCATACATTGTTAATGCATATTCCAATATGTAGCCTTATGGTTTAAGTTCTTAAAAAGGGCCATAATGAAAATCAGAGTTTTTCTCAAAAGTAATTAACTACTACTCAGAGTAGTTTTTTTTAAAAGAGTAATTTGTAAAATATTAGTATCATTTACTTTCCCAGAGACAGGTTGCGACTGGAAGGGCATCCACTGCGTAAAAACTTTAAAATGATTTGCAAATCATTCAACTTATGTTATAGATTTAGCTTCAAAAACAAGCTTTTTATATTAAAGCTAATTTATATGCTTATTTAAATGTAAATTTTCATACAAATAATAATTGGAATTATCAGATAGCTGAAGTGCTTCAGTAGTCTGTTAACTACTGAAATTAGCATGTAAGCTAACAAATGACTCATGTTCTCATTCACTGAAGACACTGGGTTTCCCATACACAGATTTATTTGTAGTAATATGGAAGTTTTCACATTATTGCATCTTTAAAGACAACAAGTTGTGTACAGAGAGTGTAATTGTTTTCAGAAAGAAAACTTGCTTATTTTCTCAAATTAGTCCATCAAAATTTAAGTGTAGTGTTTTGAAATCAAAGTCTTTTTTTGTTACCCAAAAACATCAAGAGTTGATCAAGTCAAAATCTCACAATCTGACACAAAATCTGATCTGTGGTAACTGGCAAATGGCATTGTCTGAACAGGGCTTTATGGTGTCTGTATCGGTCGCTCACTGTCATTTCCTTATGGCGAGTTCACACCACACGAGTTTATCCACTAACACGTTTTGTAAAATTGCAGACAAAAGCACAAAATTGGAGGCAAATCTTTGTTTATTCAGGCGAGTGACAATCAAACAATGTGAATTATCAAAAACACAATCTAAGGGTGTAGGACAGTGTTCCCTGCATCTCCTCAAATATTTTCTCCTCTATTCTGCCACCCTATGCATATAACCAATAACTGAGGTAAGAAACTCTGGTTATTTATAGTGAGTTAGGAATCATCTGATTAGTGAATCATGTGTTAGCTAATGCAGGACCAGCTGTAGACAATCATAAGCATGTGATCCTCTTGAAAGTAGTTTATAAATAAACTTTACATGAATGAACAGCCAAACTACATGAACAAGTTGCCGTTTTGAATATACCAGTGTTTGTGTGGACAAGGCCTCATTTTTCAGGACTCTGCTCTTCATTGTGAAGCTTCATGTGAGCGCTGAGACTTCTTTTATGGGTAAAGCCCTTTCCACACTCACTGCATCTAAAATGATTCTCTCTTGAGTGAGTCTTCATGTGTCGCCTAATGTAGTCTTTGCGTGTGAGTTTAATTCCACACTGATCACATGTGAACACTATGGTTCCAGTGTGACCATTCATGTGGTTCATGAGGCTAGATTTGCTTGAGAAGCTCTTTCCACACTGAGCACATGCAAACGGGTTCTCTCCGGTGTGAGTTCTCATGTGGTTATTGAGTGAGCTTTTATATGTGAAACTTTTACCACACTCTGTGCATGTGTAAGGCTTCTCTCCAGTGTGAATCCTCATGTGGATGTCAAGGTTTTGTTTTTTAACAAAACTTTTCCCACACTGTGTGCAAGTAAATCTTTTCTCTCCAGTGTGAGTTCTCATGTGGACTTCAAGATTGCCATTTTGCTTAAAACTCTTTCCACACTGAGGGCAAGAGTAAGGCCTCTCCTCAGTGTGAATTCTCATGTGCATTATCAAGTTTCCTGCATGATAGAAGCTTTTTCCACACTGTTGGCATGTGTACGGCCTCTCTCCAGTGTGAATTCTCATGTGGGTTTTAAAGTTTTCTTTTTGACAAAAACTCTTTCCACACTGTTCACAGGTGTAAGGCTTCTCCCCAGTGTGAATTCTCATGTGCACTGTTAAGTTTCCTATAGTATAGAAGCTTTTTCCACACTGTTTGCAGGTGCAAGTTTTCTCCCCTCTGTGAACTCTCATGTGAACATCAAGCTTTGGCTTTTGACTAAAAGTCTTTCTACGCTGTTTACTGCTGAAATTACACTTAGATTTGGATTTCCGAGGTCTTCCACGTGATGAAGTCTTTTTAGTCAGTGTGGGTTTTTCATCAGTCATTATGTCTTGGTGTTTCTCTTCTATTTCATTCCATTGATGAGTCTCTTCTTTCAGCACCATCAGGTCTTAAAAAACAACAAAAAAGTGAACTTTAGTATGAAGCCACAAAGCGATAAGCATGAAATGGATGTTTCACCCACAAATAAAAATAACCAATTAACATTTACTCTCCGTCATGTGGTTTTAAACATTTCCTGTCTTTTGAAACACAAAGGAAGCTTGCATTTTTTTTAACAATATCTTGTGCTCAAAAGAACCAAGGGATAACTTATTAATGGAGAGTAAAAGGTGAGGCTAATTTTAAATATTTCATTTTTTTTTATTTTTACAAGATGTAAAATAAGTCATTGGTGTTCCCAGAATGCGTCTGAGGTTTCGGCTCAAAATCAGATCATGTACCTTGCAGAATATTTCATTTTGGGGGTCAGAGGAAAACCAAGCTGTTTTTGTGCCTGTGGCTTTAAATGCAAATGATCAAATGCACTCGCTCTAGATTACTCCTGTTGTGTTCCCTTATGTGTATCTTCCACTGGATTTAAACATTTGTAACTTGCTTAGAAGACCCGATTGAGACAAATCCTGCATGTTCATAGCAAATGTGCATAATTCAGCTTATATTAGTGAGTTTGCATTATTGTAAATAACTTATGCAATTTTTTCTCAGTACTGGTTTGCAGCTGGACGGTATCCGCTGTTGAAAACATATGCTTGATAAGTTGGTGGTTCATTCCACTGTGGCGACCCCTGATAAATAAAGGGACTAAGCCGAAGGAAAATGAATGAATGAACTTTTGCAAAAGCTTAATGCCACGTTTTCTGTAAACTGTGATGAGGAGATGGCGAGATGACATCCCAGGTGAAAAAAAATATATAATTAAATGCAATTAAAATACACTTAAATACCCGCAAATACATTTTAAGTACATTGTTATTTTTTTGTGTTAAATAAAAGTTTGATGGTTTTACACTATAAATATACTAAATAAGTATGTTTATACTTCAGTAGGACTTTAGTACACTTGACAAAAGTATACCAAATACCAGTAATACTTAAATACATTTTTAGTGTACTACAATAAAGTACACTACAGAAAAAAACACCCAAAAGAGTTTTATTAGTGTGTTTTTCAAAAGTGTGCTTTAAATGCTTTAAACATTAGTTGATTTTTAGTACAATGTTTAAGTTTAAAATAAGTTAATATATAAAAAATCTATTAGTAATGTATTATAGTAGAAATACATTTTCCCAAAAATTGTACTTAAGTACACTTAATGTGAATGCAATTATCACTAACACTTAAATTGATTTTGAGTGTGGTAATCTTACCAAAACATTATTGTCTTGAAGTATGTGTGTGTTGTGGGTCAAGGAATGATCAGGAAAGCCAAGAATGGGCATGCAGAAGGGATGATATGTTTGTGTATATCCAGTGTAGTCAATAATATGATAATCTAAGGAAACATATGTTTTACATTGCATATTCTAAAATTGTTCTGGACTGTTTATCCTTCTTCTTAATTATCTTTTGTCTAACCAATTACGTGAGGATGTCTAAACAATCTAATGACAAAGGTTTGTTGACTCTGTTAGCATAAATATCACTGTATCCTGAATGTAAGGAAGGTCGACCTGTGGAGCTCATGGAGAGTGGAGATTTCTTGCTGTCAAAACTACAAAAAAAGTAATTAAATTTCCTTCTATTTTATTTCATTCCTGACTCTTTGTTTTTATTCATCGCAACTGGTCTTTCACTGTTCTTAAAATGTACTTAATACTAATTTTTAGTACATTAAATACAAAATTAGTTTGGGAAAATAGAGCACTTTTAATACAGTATTTAGCACACTTTTTTTTTTTTTACAATTTGTATATTCTTTTAATATATTACTATTATACTTTAAATTAGTCATAAATATATTTAAATGTTTAAAAGTAGGGTTCCAGTGTTTTTCTAGTTGTAACTAAATATATATTTTTAAAAATACAGATATAGTATGTTAAAAGCACATTTTAATTAAATTTCAGTGTGTCTCAAAATAGCACAGTTGAGTACACTTAGATGGTGTTAAGTTTATCCTAACATATACTTAATACTATCTTTTAGTACATTAAGTACAAAATTAGTGTGCGAAAATAGAGCACTTTTAGTACATTACTGAAAAGTGTACTAAGTATACTCAAAGTGCATTGTAGTGCACTTTTTTTTTTTTTTTACCTGGGCAAGCAAAGAGATCCGCATGCTGTAGGCTATTACATAAATGCGAACTCAACTTTTAATACTGCAGTCACAACATTTGTCAGTGAAATAACGCCACAGGTAGTTGGTAGATCTGTGTAAAAAAGGCCTGCCGTTACAGCTGGAAAAAATCCTAAAGGAAACACTGATATAACTTATGCAAATGCTTCTCAGTACTGGGTTGTAGCTGGAAGGACATCTGCTGTTTAAAACATATGCTAAAAAAGATACTGGTTCATTCCACTGTGGTAACCCTTGATGAATAAAGGGACAAATGCTGAGATCAGACAGCATGATTTTCAAAATATTCGTGTTACGGATGTTTTTCACACTGCATGACTATCTGGGTTAGTGTTTTGTCATTGGTTTGTCTACACTGCAAGATGGATCGGCGACAGGGAGTTTCACACTGCATGACTATACAAAAGGACAATCACAGACAACTTTGTCCAAACTATGTCTCACAGCCAAAAATACATATAGCTTTTGTTATTAACTACATAATGAGAAAGAAGCCTTTAATGGGGTAGAAAATGTATATATTTGCTCCCCTGGCATGGTTTCCGCTACATTCATTCTTCCATGGCAGGGCACCACGACAAAATTCATCCCGCCACGGCTACATTACAGCTTCTCATTCAAAACATTTCATTTTTAATAGCCGGTAATAACGTATTAAACGCCAAAACGTATTAAAAGGTTGAGTGAATTATAACCGCGCAAACTTCTCTGTAATCGTAGTAGTGCTGTGTATTATTTGTTTACCCCGTTAAGAATAAGTGCTGACAGACTGACTGGCTGACTGACAGATGCGTGAGGCCAGCAAACACGATCTATAGCCGTTTCACTTTACTTCAGGACGCATTAATATCGTTCTGTAGGTCTATTAGAGACATTCATAAATGTACAAGCAAAGAGATCCGCATGCTGTAGGCTATTACATAAATTTGATCTCGACTTCTAATACTGGGGTCACGACATTTGTCATTGAAATAACACCACAGGTAGTTGGTAGATCTGTCTAAAAAAGGCCTGCCGCTACAGCTGGAAAAAATCCTAGAGGAAACACTGCCTAGGTTTTGAAGGGAACTAGCAATTTCTCTTCAAATTTTTCCTTTTTCGGCCCAGTTGAGCCAAAGGAAAATGAATGAATGAACTTATGCAAATGCTTAATGCCAGTTTGCTGTAAACTGGAGTAATGAGGAGATAGCAAGATGACATACTTTTCTTGCCTTTGTGCATGTCCTGAGGCTTAGCTGAAGACCTACATGATGACATTTTACATACCTGACAAGATGCAGAAATGCCATCAAAAAAGGTGACCCGCTGTTTGTCTAATCAGGGACAGTGACAACATAAATATACAAATAATAATGTTAACCCGGTGGTTGGGAATATGTAATGTCTGTTAATGAACATCTGGGATTATTTGTTAGCCCCTGCACTGTTAAAAATTGTCCCGTTAAAAAACAGTAAAATACTGGCAGCTGCAGTTGCCAGCAATGTACTGTTATTTAACAGTCTGTTGCTGTAAAAATACATGGACTACATTGATTTACACAATACTCAAGTGAACTCATTTTGCTCACTGAAAGCAACTGTCTCAACTTGGTCAACTGCTGAATGAGTTTATGAAGTAATATGCTATACATGCTTAGAAGCATACTTATAATGATAACTTATTTTAGTTAATTAGAAAAGTTCGGTTTAACTCTAATGTCTTATTTTCACAACAGCACACATACATGTAAATCTGGAATCACCAGAGAGATTCTGACTGCATCAGCAACTAAACAGCCGCTGTCTTTAAATAGAGAAACATGCAGAATAACATCAGCAGTTCATTGTTCATCTTTAACTCATACACTGGCTCTACTCTCCTCCACAACGGTGACACACAGAAGAAATTAGCTTCAGGTTTTACAGTAAAATACTGTTTTTTCCTTGATTTAACAGTAATCTACTGGCAGCTGTGGTTGCCAGCAATCTACTGTTTTTTTACAGTCTATTTCCGTTGTGTAAATTAACAGTATATTACTGTTAAAATACATTTTTACACTGTGTTTTTACCTCTCACACCTTTAACCCTTTAAACCCCAGAGCAAATACTTCAGTTTTTATTGAAGTGTCCACACTACTGAGTGTTCAAGAAACATGGAGCAAAGCTGAAGTAAATTCATTAATTAACTGACTAATTAAATGATAATTGAGGATTAACAATGAACAAATGAAGAAATACTGAAGGGAGAAAACAAGAACAGAACATACAAAACTTTAGTCACGCTTTATAATGAAATAACCTGAAGAACAACAAATGATTAAATCATTTAAATGATCAGCGGATGATTAAACAACTCTACAAACATCATCACCAGCTACACTTATTACTTAATACATGTATTTTTGTATAACATCTACTAAAGTTCTTCTTGAGAAAAAGTGAAAGTTTTACTTCACCATCATGGAGAACAGAGTTTGCTTTAGTTGGGCTCTTAGCCCTGTCATTTTTAACATTTATATATCGTGGCTGCTGCAATTGTTAAGAACTTTGTTTAAAAAGCTCCTTTGATGTGGCAAGCCAGCCAAAAACCTCAATAAGATCTGATGATGTTCATGTTGCTAATAAATGGCAGAGTCTGTTCTCATTTCGTATAATAAAATTTACTGCTCCTATTCAATGTTAAATCTATTGTTTTACATTAGATGTATATATATGGCAATGATTTCTGGAAGTTTTTAAGAATATCTTGGACAATAACAGTGCTCTATGGTGTAAATCGCACTCAAAGAGACATCAATAATCAGCATATGAACCTCAATAATGGTGACAACAAATTTAACAAAATTAACAGTTTAACTCACAAACAGGCAACTGAAAGTCTAAACATAAACAACAGCAGAATCAAACACAAATAAAGAAAACTGTGAGACCATCATACAACATTTATTTATACCGCAATGCATGCTGGGATATTTGACAGTGCCACTCCCAGCATGCATTGCAGCATGAAACATTTGAGATGTTACCATTGTTGAGATACAAGGTCAGATTCATGAGGTCTGAGTGTGTATTTGTCATAACTGAACTGTTTTTGTATGTTATTTATTAACTGTTAAGTAATTACGGAGGTATCTTTTCTGTTTTCACTTCTCATTAATTAAATTAATACCTGCAACTAAGCATAAAATCTATTGCATGTGGCCCTTCTTCCAGATTTATACCAAAACATTTATCAGAACTAATTTCAGACAAATAGATTTCTCTATTTATTGACTTTCCAACTTTATTGCTAAATTGCTTTTAGTACAAACGTTTTGTAAACTCTGTGTTACAGCAGTTAGAAAGTCTTCTTAAATGAGTTCAAGGGTGAAGAGCCCAACTAAACCAGCCCCTCACTCCATTACGGTGACACAAAAAACACCTTAATTTCTGTTGGATCTCAATGAGAATAGTATGGAAGTCAAATCAGTCAGTAATAAGTGTGTCTGCTGTTGTTTGTGGAGTTGTTTAATGATCCTCTGCTGAGACTGAAGCTGTTTTATTTTATTTGATTTTATTTAATGTTGTAACTCAAGTCACTGTTTGTGTTTCTTGTTTCTTTTCTTCAGTAATTGTAATTATTAACAGCAGGTGTTCATCAGTGTCTGAATTCACTCATTAGTGTTCATTAAAACTGTCAGGTGAACTATATCAGTTAACTAGTGTATGAAATAGTGAACAAGGACACAAAGTGTGATTTCAAACACAGACTTCAAAACACCGAATCTGAACTCTGTTAGCTCACAGTTTTCTGCAGTTGGTTACTTTCTCGAAAACAAAAATGTTACCCAGAAAGCACTGTTTTTAACAGAATATTACTGTTTTAGTGAAAAAACATTATTTTACCGTAGAATCTGACCGTTTTTTAACAGCAATTTTTTACAGTGTGGTATAGCATGAGCAGTGTGGAACGTGCTTACTGATAACCAAGGATTTTGTTATTCAGAGTTAGAATGACCCAGGATTATCCATTTGAAGTGTGAAAATCCCTAAGAATACTCAGCATCAGCTCTCAGCATAAACAGAGCACAAAGACAAACAGCGACATACAAAAATTGTCAATCATGTCATAGCAGTGACCTGATCCCATATGCTAATGTTTTAGAACTTCCAATTCAAGTGCCTCTTGGAGAAATGACCAGGAATAATAAATGGCAGAAAACGGTCACACTACTTGCTCTGCAAACAAGTGTGTTCATGACTATACATACAAACAAAAATAATAAAAATAGAAATTTTGACTTTGCAACATTAAGCAGCATTAGGCAAGGGCCAGTATAAGATTCTAATTCTAATAACATGGAATAAAAATATCACAGTTTCATGGTACTGTGATTACTGCTCTAAAATGAATATTTTTTATATGTCTGGGTAAAAAAACAAACAGTTTTCCCCTTTGAACACAATATATTATTTTTGAGAAAATTTAAAAGTGTTTTGGAGCAGTAAACATGTCAGGCTGAAGAATTCTAATAAATCATTGACTTTTGCTGTCTTCATTAGTTTTAGAAACACAGATTTCTTTATTATTTAAAATGGCATCTTTTGATATCTTTTCTGCTGGAGATACTGTTGTCCTGAAAAACTTAAAACATAAAAACCTTACATATACAGTAGGAATGATATAGCAGAATAATTTGTCAGCTTTATACCTTGAAAATTGTTATCGTCCCATGCCTTAGCAGCATAACACTGTTTTTAGGATCTAAAAATTAATTCTTTAAATAAAGTCTCAAGCAAAAAGATTCCAATGTCTGCTGGTACACAAAGAATATGGTCAATAATCTAATGAACTTTACACTCAAATGTTTGCATATCATCAGCATGCTGTAATCCATTTCTTAAGCAGCAAAAGTCATTTGTAGACTAGTTTGTTGGCCAGTTTTAGTCAGTGCAATGCTAATCGTTATTGTTCTACTATAATTTGTTTATTTTGCCTCATGTTGTCCCACAACATCATCATATAGTTTAGAATACTGTACAATGTTTTATAATAATTAATTATTTTAGTGTCCATTTCATTCAGCATGTTTAAAATTGTGGGCATCCACGTTTTTGACATGCTTTAAACCAGGATTTCTGCAGGTTTCACCAAATAAAATTTAGGACTTTTTAAGACCATTATGAATGAAAATTTATACTCATGAAGGGCTAAAAGCTAAGGAATTTTTCAGATGGCCCAGATGAAAATGTTTTAATGTTTTTATTTGCCCCTAAAAAATTTTATGATTTTAATACATTTAATAATACAATAATAAATGAATAATATAAAATTACAATATTTTAGATATTTCTTAGCAAAAGATTTTAAATATTGTGTAAAAATAAGCCTTTACTTGTATCCATACACTTTTTCCCAACATAAACTTTGAAAAAATACAAAAAAAATTAACAAATGTTTTAAAAGTTTTTAAAACTATAATAAACTAAATCTATGCACAACAATCTGTCCAGGTCGATGTCCTCAGCAGTAAATACACGGATCACATTTAAACAAATGTTATTGTAAAAGAAATAATTAAACTATTATGATAAACAGAGTAAAAATGTCCTTTTTTAATTAAAAAGTTGAAAGTTTTATTGAGATGGATTGTTGGTGATTGTATGGGTTTTGGCCAGATTGGGTAGTAAATCATGAACAAAGGAAAATGAATTTTTGTTTTAAAAAGATTTAAGACCTACAACACAATATTTCAGAAAAATTTAAGACTTTTTAAGGCCTAAAATTTAGATTTTGGAATTTAAGACATTTTATGATTCGCGGAAACCCTGTTTAAATACAATAGCCCTGGTAATTAGTTATTATAATAATGTGGTTCTAACTCTGATACTATAAGTAACAACCAGTAACAACTACTAGAAACAAGTTTAAACCCATAAAGAATTTGGTAAAAAAAAAAAAGGAATTTACAATAATACATAAAATAATGACAAAAGACATGAGAACAAGTAACAAGAAAGAAACTTATTCCTGTCTTTATATGAGTGCTTATGTGCATTTAGGAGAACTAGGCAGCACACTCAGGGCTGCAAGATGGATTTAATTTAGTATTCTTATTATTAAAATATATCTGAATGAGGATCAAATGACTGAGTTGGTGTTTGAGAATAAAAACGAACCTGTTTGTTCCTGCAGATCTTCCTGTTTGACTGTGAATGTTTCTTCAATCTTCAAATCTTCACTCTCCTCTTTAATAAACGCCATCTTTATAACAGTGTGGAGATCAGTCGCTTCAGCAGGAGTTTTTCTCTGTGTTTGGACACTTTATCCTGTTTAAAATAAAAAAAAACATTGAACAGAAACAAAATAACTTCTCTTTAAAAGTGTCTTCATATGAGTAATCAACAAAAAGAAATCGGGTAAAACGTTTCTTTAAAACACTTATTACACACTTTATCCAAACAATAGCTCTCAAATAATGAGAGATTATAGATTATAGAAATAGTACTATGTTGTATAAAAAGGTAAAATAATATTTCCAACAGCAGGAACATAATTCAAAATCGTCTAAAAAACCTAAAACTTCAGAACTTTAACTTTAAATCGGTTTATATCTGTAAACGTTTTAAAACAAACCTTACTCCAGTTGAACCATAGCGCAGATGCGGCGCCGCCTGATGACGTCACAGGCTACGCCAAAATAAAAGTCTTTTTTTTTTTTTGTTTAGCTTTTTTGCCACTTACTGTTGCATTCATGACTTATTGATACATTAAGTCCCATCTTTTTCTCTTTACACTATATCTGCTCTCTCTCTCTGTCTCTCTCTCTCTTTCTCACACACAAACCTTCCCAGATAGCAAACCAATGTTGATTCAACGTCGATAAGGGGTTCGGGGGAGAAGAGACTTTCCTGAGGTACATTTAAAGTGCTTTTAAAACGTATAAAATGGCAAGAAATATAATAATAATAAATAATAATAATAATCTCACAATTATTAAGAGAGGAAATAGCTATGAAAGGAAAATAGTTTATTGTAGCCACACTGTTTGTTTTGTGTCTACACAAATCCATTTTGTTAAATACTACACACACACACACACATTAGTAGTCATATTAACTTAAAATATTGTAATTATTATACGTGTATAAAATAGACATATACGTTATTGGTAGTAATGTATAATCTAATTTCAATTTTGCATTTTATTTAAAATGTTTCACGTTTATATTACTTTACTGATTCAATTTACTCTAACATTGCAGAAAACACATTATGTTTTCCAATCACACTAACAATAACACTAACCTGCTTCTTTTTAAAGGATAAAAATTGAGTAAAAAGTGTACTTAAAAAAGAGGCACCAGTTCCAGCTGCCACAAAAAGGCAATGGACACAGAATAAAATTGCTTGCGTCAAAAAGACAGAGAATCAGGGATAACAGCAACAAGCATTTTAAAAGAAGAAGGGATAGACCTTGTTGAACTCATGAAATGCACAGACATACGTTCAACATGAGTCTACCTCAAGGACCAGTCTTGCAGTTGTTCATTCTTTCATTTTCTTGTCTGTTTAGTCCCTTTATTAATCCGGGGTCGCCGCAGCGGAATGAACCGCCAACTTATCCAGCAAGTTTTTACGCAGCGGATGCCCTTCCAGCCGCAACCCATATCTGGGAAACATCCACACACACATTCACACACACTCATACACTACGGACAAATTAGTCTACCCAATTCACCTGTAACGCTTGTCTTTGAACTGTTGGGGAAACCGGAGCACCCGGAGGAAACCCACGCGAAGGCATGGAGAACATTACACAGAAACACACAAACTCCACACAGAAACGCCAACTGAGCCAAGGTTCGAACCAGCAAACCTATTATTCCTTTTATTTCTTGCTGTGAGGCGACAGCACTACCTACTGCACCACTGCCTCAATTCTTGCAGTATTTTTATTTTTTTGCATCCAACGAAACAGATGGGAGTTGAATAAAAATAGATAGCTGGATTGACATTTTAATAAATTATATAAAAAAGTATAGAAATGAAAGGTAAAATGCAAATGCATAATTTAAATGGTTTATAGTAATGGATGATTTCTATAATTGTTTATAATCTATTTGTATACTTTTATGTATTTCTGTATTTATTAAGTTTTTGTTTGTTTGTTGTATTGTTTATCTGTTAGAACTCATACTGTATTGCTAACAGCAAGTGACAGAATTTCTTTCTTTCATTCCAATTACAGCAAATAACTCCTGCAAGCCCTGCAGGAATTATAAAATCCTGCAGGATTTGTCACTCGCTTGGATCCAATGTGAAATCTGTAAGAAATTCCTGCACATATCGTCAATGTGTCCTACAGGATTTTATAATTCCTGCAGTACTGCAGCTGTCCTGCAGGGGGAAAAATAAATCCTTCAGGATTCCTGTAAAAAGTACTGCATGATTCTAAAACCTGTAGAGTTGCCTGCACATATTGTCATTTTGTCCTGCAGGATTTCTTAATTCCTACAGGATACCAGCAGGTTCCTGCAGAAAAAAATGAAGAAAACACAAGGACAGAATAAACTCAATGAATGTATCCTCACTTTATGTAGGAACTGAAATACCTTAGGTAATTTAAGAAGGCAGTGAAAGCAGTCATTTTATATTCAGGGAAATCCACATTGAAGGACTGATGTTACTTTCTCCAATACAGCAGGTGGCGGTGTGCAGTTTACTCTGCTCTCTGACTCAACGCACAGCCAGAAGAAGAAGTGGTGCGCAGCGTCTAAACTTTCTGCTCCACATCCAGCGTTAATACTGCTTTAGGTAAAGTCACGCATGTAACCCTCTGCATGTCATTTGATTGAATGTAAATCCCGCATGTCCTTATCTACTCTGTTCAGAGTGTTTGTGACGGATGTTTTTACTGAACTGACCGTAGACTGATTGAAAGATGAAATGAAAGAGATGAAATCTGTGATCAGGAGTCATAGTTCAGTAAATCAAAGTTCTCCAATATATTTCATATGTTTTTCAATATGAACATGTTTGCTGAATCTAGCATTTTAATATGCTTTACAGCACTGCTCGACGCTGATCACTTGTAATGTCTGCGCGAGTGTGCGTTAACGATCGCGTGCATGAGCGACCTGGGCGTTCCCGAGAGAGTATTTCACGGAACAGCGCCCCCTGGTCACAATTTTCGGCACAACATAACCCTTCAGAAACGAAAGTGAAAAAGCTTGTTGTCACAGTTTTAAACAGACAGAATCCATAGTTTACCTACAATAGCTTTATATCTTTAATGTCCTGACAGAACCTGTATTGCTGAGTTCACTGCATGATTTTCAAAGTCGTGTCACCGATGTTTTGGTAAAGTTAGTTTTATATTCGCAAATTTGTTTATTTAGACGTCTTTATATTGTTTACCATGTTACTTTGAATATTCGATCGGATTTAGCATGCAAGTATGACTTGAAAACAACATTACACTGATTATTTGACTGTGAGCAATGTTGTACTTTGATAGTCATTGGCTGCTAATATGATTTCGCTATTTAGAGTTTCCAAATAATTATTTCATGAAATTATATTATTAAGGGCAAAGTCCGAATATGCAAATATAAAACCAACTTTACCTCTATTGTTTTCACACTGCATGACAGTCTGGGCTTTGTTGCTGCTTTGTTTACACTGCCAGATGGACAGGGGCTTTCACACTGTATCACAGACAACTTTGTTTTAAACGAAACAACCAAAAACATGTAGTATATATTTGTTTATTAACTACATAAGAAGTAAAAGCATAATAGAGTAGAAAATCTACATATTTGGTCACCTGGATTTGAGGGGAATTAGCAATTTATCCTCAATTTTTTTTTTTTGACCCGATTGTAATATTGCTCACATGACACGTCAAACAGACACAGGTGCTCCTGCCAAATTTACATTCGTTTTTCCTCCATTTCTTGGGTCCAAATAAACTGAAAATGAGCGCATTTAACTTCTCTCTGATGTAATTTTCAGTTAAAACTCATTTCACCTGGCATGACAGCTCCAAATATTCAGCATGCCAAATATCTCACAGGTGTCTGTGATTCATTAGCGATTCTCTCAGATGGCGTCTTTGATAGTTCACATTGTGTGATTGTTATGCCGAGTTCAGACTGCATGATTTTCAAAGTAGTCATGTCACAGATGTTTTCACACTGCATGACTATCTGGGCTAGCGTTTCGTCGCTGCTTTGTTTACACTGCAAGATGGATCAGCGACAGGGGCTTTCACGTTGCAAGATTTTACTATTGGAAGAATCACCAACAACTCCATCCAAAATACGTCTCACAGCCAAAAACATGTAGTATATCTTTTGTTATTAACTACATAATGAGAAAGAAGCCTTTAATGGGGTAGAACATGTCCATGTTTGCTCACCTGGGTTTAAAGGGAATTAGCCATTTCTCCTCAACGTTGATGATAAACTACTTTCTTTCTGTATGAAACGTCAAACAGACACGGTTGCTCCTGAGTCCGGTCAAACCTCCATTAGTTTTTCCTCCATTTCGTGGGTCCAAATAAACCGAAAAAGAGCGCCTTTAACTTCTCCCCAGCCTCCCGCTGGCCTGCAGCAGGTATACACACACACACACACACA